AACTCAAGAACTAGAAAACTCAAAACAAATTCCAACATATTAGACTGTCAACCTATCTGGAATACTTAAAATGGGCACGACTAAACTTGGAGATAAATCAATTTCTCACACAGCTTCAAAGGCCCAATTAGAGCACCCATCACTTAGTAGAGACAACTCGCCTTGAAATGACATCAAAAGAAATCCCATTATGCTCGAGACGCTCTCGGAGATTAGTCGGACCAAACACGATCCCTGGAGTGAGAACTCCTCCTTTGGGCAAGTTGTCACGTTGCCCGAGAACAATCAAAGCACATTGCAGCAAGATGATAGGGGTCGTCGAATAGCCCGCATCAGGACCCATGACTCTTGTTATGATCTCCGCATCGGGCTCCTGCTTCTTGTTCCCAAACTCTGTCGATGTCCTTCGGCTCAAGTCACTGTATCCGCGTCCGACAAACCACATCTTGAAGGAAGCGCTCGCGACCTCGTCCTCAGAAGGACCCTTCTTGCTGAACCATCCAGCGCTAAAAAATGATGGGAAGTTGAGGAGTAGCCACCTTCCAATAGAACTTCTACCCAAGTAGCCAATAGAGACGCCAAGAGTAATAAATTGAAAGAGACCCAAAAGGCAATTAGACCCCAACTTCAACCCAAAATAAGCAGGCTTCGTCGCCGACCAATATTTCTTCCTCCTCTCAGTCCGGTCGTCACTCTCTCTAACCCCCGGAAGACCTTCAGGGTATTTTGTTAATGTCGCAAGCGTTCTACTTACAACTGCAGTATCCGCCGATGGAAGCTTTAGGAGCCAAAGACCAAACTCCTTTTGGTAGTCTATGGTTGGTCCTTTATTAGGATATGGCCCAGGAATCTGCAACAAAAATGAAGCATCAATATGGTCCAACTTGAATAATTGTTCTGAAATATAAAATTGAAGTGTGTTTGTCTGTCCTTTAACCCCAACTTATTCAAGGTGAGTTTATAACTTATTTGACAAACAAACTTCACATGTTTTACTTGCATGGTTCACATACTATTGAATAATCTGTCTCATGATCTATAATATTGATTAATGCACACGGTGATAATAATTACTAAATTATCAACATTTACATTGAATATCTATAGAATGCGAAATACGGCGACCTAACACCAATAAGCGTTAGAACTTAGAACTTAGAAGTGTTTTTAACCCATATTGCATTATTTGATGATACATGAGTATGAATGTTAGAAAAGATGATGAATGCATTTAACTAACAGAAGTGACTTGCTAACCTTGGGCTTAGTCCTTCTGGGTCTGGACCTCCTCAACTCTTGCAACTTGTCCACGTTGGCAACACCTAGAACCGCCGATTGGTAAGTCCCGAAGTTGGCAACAATGTTCTTGTCCGATTCCAAGCTCAGGTAAGCCTCGATCCGGTTTGGCACAGCCGGGTAGACCCACTGCTTCGAGTTAAACATCCAACCCAGCTCAGCCGGGACCGAATCGAACCCACAAGCCGAAACAACCAACGCACCGTTCTCAACCGCTTGGTCGTGGTAACTGTATTCCATCCGCTCCATAAACTCCGGCTCCCCGCAGATATCCAAGTAGTCGCAGCCGGCCTCGACACAGGCGGCCACGACAGGGTCGCCGTGGAGGCGAAACGGGCCGACGCAGTTGAGAACGAGCCTGGTCCGGGAGCAGAGCAGGCGCAGGGAAGCAGGGTCGGCGGTGTCGGCGGTGAGGATTGGGATGGACGGAGGTGGAGAGTTGGGCTCGGCGGCCCATTTCAGGGCTTGGGTGAGCTTGGAATTGTTTCGGCCCGCTATGGCGAGGGATTTCAGAGGGGAAGATGGGGAGTTGAGGAACTTGAGAGCTTCCCTTACGACGTATTTGCCGGTGAATCCGGATGCTCCTAGGATTATGATGTCGTAGAGTACTGGAGATTGGTTGCTGTCGTTGTCCATTTTTTGGGAAATGATTTGGAGAATGAGGCTTAGAGATGGTTCATATATATATAGCTCTGGAGTTGAACGGCATGCCATTTCTCGGGCTGCTTTGTATAGTAATTAGTAAATAGTAAGTGATATCACATTCACATGCTAGAGGCCTAATGTGGAATTTTACCACAACCATGCTTCAAAGATACGAGTTCAAATTGTACTAGAAAGAGTTAATAGCATTTCGTACCCCTTTACTATTGCGAATTAACGAACGTACCCCTCTTTTAATTTTTTGCACAAACGTACCCCTCTAGTATTAAAACGTAACGAATATACACTTATGTTAAATTTTCTGTTGAATTACCGTTTAATGAGCTGTAAAATGACCTAATTACCCCTCATTAACTCTTAATTTTTATTGAATTGTTTTTTTTTATCCCTAACCAAATTAATTAAAAATTAAAACCTACCGACTCCTAATTTCTCTTCGACGGCCGGACGTTCCGTCTTCCTTACCTCGCCCCACTCTCCTCTGGACTAGAGAAATCTTGTGCCCAATAAATCCGGCACCTGTCAGACGGCAGCTTGAGTAGGTTCGGCGGGCAGGAGGGTTTGTACGCGGCCTCCTTCTCGACACAAACACACAGTTGGTGATGCGACTCTTCTCCCACGAACAACAATTGTAAACGCGATCCTCTTCTCCCTTCGCCTGTGCGTCCGGCCGTCCGCGTTAGAGACTCCGGCCACCCCTCTACTCGGCTGCTACCCATCCACTTCGGGTTGTTGATTGGTTTAACTTATCTTTAAGTGTTAAGGCTCCCTTCAAATATGCAGGTACAAGGAAGAATGATGGGATTTGAAGCTGCTCATCGGATCTGGTGGTGTATATAATGATGTGTTTTTATTTTGTTGGCAGGTAATGCAAATCTAATGCCTTTTGTACAATTGGTGGTACTCAATCCCAATTACTTATTAATCAAATGAGTTTTATTGCTTCATGTCTTGAATCAAATTGAATCCATTGGCCGAGAGCATGGTCGGATTTCTCTGGTACAGGGGAGTCGGCGAGAGTAGAGAGGAAGAAGGAAGGGTTTGTCGGGTTAGAAGGCTTGGGAATGCTTAAGCGCCGGTAGCTTTTTATTTTATTTTATTTAAACTTGTGGCGTAGGTTTTAATTTTTAGGTACATAAAATATATTAAATAAAAATTAGGAGTTAATGAGGGGCAATTAGGTCATTTTACAACTCATTAAACGGTCATTTAACAGAAAATTTAACGGAGGTGTATATTCGTTACGTTTTAGTACTAGAGGGGTACATTTGTACAAAAAATTAATAGAGGGGTACGTTCGTTAATTCACAATAGTAAAGGGGTACAAAATGCTATTAACCCTACTATAAATGAATTGTATATAGAAAGATATAAGTACAAATTGAATTTGTACGAATATTTACGAGCATAGTAACGAAACTCTTGTCCCAATGCATCCTAGTAGCCGCCACCTACCAGTGCCTATTAGCCGCCCCTGCTGGTTGTGCTTTCTTCAACCAGTACGGCCGTACATTTATTAATTGGGGGGTGTGGTTAATTAGGCGAAAACAGAGTGATAACTGATCAGTGAACATGTGTTGTTCTGGTTCATCGTTTTGGAAGACTCGTACTGAAAGTCATCCTCACAGATCACTTTACTGGCCGCCACTATGCTCCTGCTAATTTGTTTTGGCTTGATCTCTAGATCCGCCGCCACCATTATTAGATTCTGCATGCCTCGTGCTCCTGTTCTCATGCTTTATTATATTTTTGGTAGCTTTCTTCCATATTGTTGAAATTTATTAATTGGGTTTTGGGGACAATGGACATGGTGGATAGGCGGAAACAGAGGAGTGAGCACGTATTGTTCAAGGGCTGGGTTTAGAAAATCTAAAAGTTTTTAAGAGTAATTTTGGACTATACTAACAATGTAGATTGGCCTTGAAATCCTATGCATTCTATTGTTACTGGTATGCTTTATGAGAGTTATGATACACATTCTAGTGTTACTAACATGCTTTGTGGACTCTGTTATGCGTTCTTGCGTTTCTGACATGTTTGTTATGTTTGTGGTATGCATTATGCATTCAAGTTTTTTCAATATATATTCCTCAGTTATAAGTATATATAAACTTAGTTACAAACCATATTTCGATGATGGGAAACTGAAAGTCATAAATTTAAAATATTTAAAGAATTAGAATTAATACAAATTTGATTTATTAATTAGTGTGTGTTTTTCTCTCTATCAATATCCTTTTTTCTATTGAGAATTATTGGTGTTGGCATTATTAAACACTATAGGTGTTATTATACTATCTTTTCTCGGGGTTCTTCCTACTGCTCATTAGCCAACACGTGAAATCCAAGATATTTAATCTTTAACTAGACAAAGTATATATGTATAGCTAAAGCTTCACTACAAGAATTCCCTCTTGTAGCTACGAATTATTAGCCATAAATGATAATATTGTAGTTAAATACAAATAATAACCACATAAATTATATACCGTAACAATTAACGGAAGATTTAGTCACAAATGTGTTTACCTGTAGCTCGTTTTGGTATTATTCTTTACATTTTGAATACTATAGCAAGTAGTATCGTTTAGCCATAAAAGTTCTAGCTATGTTAAACCATCGTAGCATATTATTTTATTTAGCTACGAAAGTCACCTGTCTGTGACAAAAGTGAATGTAACATTCAACTTTCAGACATATAAAGTAAAATGGTAACTACTTATTGTGATTAGCTAAATATTTGAAAGTGGTGTAGCTAGTAGGCAGTAGCTAGTAACTAGAATGTCTGATGTACCACTATATCCATCTTTGTTCATTTTTTCAACAGAATCAGAAGTCTTGTTAACACCATTAACGACAAATGGAGGCGGACTCCATCTCGACTCTCATGATTGTATGGAATAATTCATGAAATACAAATCTAAAACAAACTAAAACACATTACATTGTTGTCAACCTATTCATATTACTTAAAATGGAAAAGACTAAACTTGGAGATAAATCGATTTCTCACACGACCAAATGTTCAATTAGAACACCCATCATTTAGTAGAGCCAATTCTCCTTGAAATGACATCAAAAGAAATTCCATTTTGTTGGAGTCGTTCTTGGAGATCCATCGGGCCAAACACGATCCCAGGAGTGAGAACTCCTCCTTTAGGCAGTCTGTCACGTTGACCTAGAACGATCAGAGCACATTGTAGCAAAATAATAGGAGTCGTCAAATAGCCCGCATCGGGACCCATAATTCTTGTTATGATCTCCGCATCGACCTCCTTGTCTCCAACATTTATTGACGTCCTCAAGTCACTGTATCCACGTCCAACGAACCACATCTTGAACGAAGCGCTCGCGACCTCATCCTCGGAAGGACCCTTCTTGCTGAACCATCCAAGGCTGAAAAAGGATGGGAAGTTTAGGAGTAGCCACCTTCCAACAGAACTTCTAGCCAAGAGCCCAACGAACAAGCCTAGAACAATGAATTGAAAGACACCTATCAAGCACTCAGAGCCCATCTTCAACCCGAAATGAGCAGGATTCATTTGTATATCACAAGAAGCTCGTTCCATCTGTACAAAATTCTTTGAAATTCTAAGTTAAAACAAAAAAAAAAATATCAATAAAAAAATATATGAAAAAATATAAAATCTTACAATACCCACCCATTATATCTGACTCCACTTAAAAGCAAGAGTACATGTATCTAATTATACAGCACCCATCTTGAACATGTTAGAACCGTATCCGAGTATGATAAAATACTAATATCAATATATTAGAAAAATGTCATGACAAAAAAGCATAATGCAACGTAAATTAAGTACCGAAAGTTTCTTCCTCACCTTTGGCTTAGACCTTCTGGGTCTGGATCTCCTCAACTCTATCAATTTGTCCATGTGGGCAACACCAAGCACCGCCGATTCATAAGTCCCGAAGTTGGCAACAATGTTCTTATCAGATTCCAGGCTCAAGTAAGCCTCGATCCGGTTCGGCACAGCCGGGTAGACCCACTGCTTCGAGTTAAACATCCAACCCAGCTCAGCCGGGACCGAATCGAACCCACAAGCCGAAACAACCAACGAACCGGTCTCAACCGCTTGGTCGTGGTAAACGAACTCCATCCTCTCCATAAACTCCGGCTCGCCGCAGATGTCCAAGTAATCGCAGCCGGCCTGGACGCAGGCCGCCACGACAGGGCCTCCGTGGAGACGAAATGGGCCGACGCAGTTGAGAACGAGCCTGGTCCGAGAGCAGAGCATGCGTAGTGAAACAGGGTCGGCGGTGTCGGCGGTGAGGATTGCGATGGACGGAGGTGGAGAATTGGGCTTTGCGGCCCATTTGAGGGTGTCCAACAACTTGGAATGGTTTCGGCCCGCAACGGCGAAGGATTTGAGAGGTGAAGATGGGGTGTTGAGGAACTTGAGTGCTTCCCTTACGACGTATTTGCCCGTGAATCCGGATGCTCCCAGGATTACGAGATCGTAGGGAGGAGATGGGTTGCTGCCGTCGTCGTCCATGGCCAAATTGAGTTGAAGTGCGTGCCATTTCTGGGGCTGGTTTGTGCGCAGGTAATATGGGGGCATATGGCGGATGGCCTAGCTAGTAGGGCTACCTTTCTGGAGAATGCTGTGGCATTAAAGTTCTGGCAGCTTATCGCGAGCTCCATCACCAATAATCAATCCTCCATGGCTCCCGCGTCAGTTCTTGTTTCCTTGTTCAGTGGCTTTCTTCGATCTGACATTTAATTGGGTAGAGGGGAGAAATTGGGTAGGTGGGAACAGAGCAGGGAGCATGTGTTGAACGTTTCCCAAATTTAATTACCTCCATTTTTCACCTTTTCAGGTGTACTCGCTATATGTTTAGTTGGATTTTAAAACGGTATCCGAAACTTCAATGGTAGAGTATTTTTTTTTATGTAGAAATCGTGATTTAATAGTGGTTCAACCGTTTCGTACAGTTGAAAACTATCTACCTATTTAAGCTCCGATATGTAGAAGGTTTTCTTAGTCGGGCCACTGATACGGTACAATTTTACAAACACTAATAGTACTACTACTAGTCATTACTTGTGCTGCGTTGTAGGGGATTTAGAACATATGTAGTGGCGCAACCAATTTCGCTGCCTGGTGCTTTCAGTTTCGGAAGAGAGTTACTAATTAACGCCCTAACTTTTTTAAATTTGTCTTCCTAAGTTAGGTAATTTGACGTTTTTTCCCTCAAAATATTTTCAACTCTAACCAAATCTCGCCCGAAGATTTTTTTCCAGTTCGCCACCGTTCGCCTGGGAGTTGCTGTCGTTTGCTGCCGCAACTGCCTTCTCGATCAATCATGCTTCAACCCAGCAGAACCCAGCAGTAGCAGAATCCCCCCGTGACGGGCGGAGCAGGGCAAGGGTTAGGGTGATGGAGGTTGCGCTAGCAAGTTCTCATGGGTTTAGCCATGGGAGGATTACCTCCGCAGAGCGGATTAGAGGATTGGGTCTTCTCGTCAGTCACTCGTGCAGCGCTAGTCGATTGTGGTGTCGGAGGTTGGATTGAAGATGGAGGGAGATGAAGAGGTGGGCGATGTCATAGGAGGTGGGGGCGGGGGCGTCGAATCCCTTCTTCCTCCTCTAGTTCGCGGCGGCGGCAGTGCGATGGCAGAAGAGGTGGGAGTCGTCGAATCCCTTCTTCTTCGAGTTCGCGGCGGCCGCAGTAGGCGGGGCAGTGGCCGGCAGGGATTCTTTCTTTCTTTTCTTCTTTGACAGGCAGAGCAGATCAAGGGCTAGGGCGATGGGGCAAAATTAGGGATTGGGTGATAGAGGACAGGTGTTGGCGTTTTAGTAATGGGGGTAGTATCGTCTGTTCGGTAAGGTTAGGACGTTAAATTTTAAAAAGTTATCAACTACTGTCACACCCTCCCCACTTGAGGTACTTGTGTTAGAATATGACTTGAATTTGATTTGCGTTTGTTTTGTGTTTTAGGCCTATTCTGTTTGGGTTTGGGATTGAGCTTTGTTTTGACCTTTTCCTAGTATGTTTGGGAAAAGGTGTTTGGTTTTCTGTTTGGGATTAGGAGAAGAGTTCTATAAATACTCTTCATCACCTAGTCTATAGTAAGGTCAGTCGGGTTAGTTGGTTTGGTTTGTCCGTTCCGGAATTTGGTTTGTAACCTGTACTCTCCTCAAAACAGTGAAATTTGTTCTCTCCTGCTCGTGGATTAGCTAGCACACATTGTGTTAGTGAACCACGTTAAATTTGTGTCCGTTCGTGTTGGTTTGGATTATCGATTGCACGCTTCTGTTCTGACAAGTGGTATCAGAGCCGCGTTTGATCTTCGGGTTATTTGATTTGATATTGTTCGCGGATTTCGGAATTGTGTTTCTGGTTGAAATTTCGGGAAGTTGCACACAATTTTGGATCGGAGCTTCTGGTTAAAAAAATCTGACCGTGAGGGGTAAAATTGCGAACCTCACAATTCCGTTCAGAGACCGCATATTGGTGACATCGCAAGTTTGTTACGGCTTTTGGATCTGCGCAGCTTTGGATTTCGAGGACTTGTTCTCGTTGAGGATTTCTTTGCGTTTGGTGTCTCAGTTTGGGCTTTTGTTGAGGTTACCTTTTGGTTTTGGAATTAGTTTTTTGATTTGTCATTAAAGTTGCTTTTGGATTCCGTCAACTTTGTCCACCTAGTTGAGAAATTAGTTCAACTTTGAAATTGTGAATTTGCCTTGAGTTGGAATTTTGATTCCAAGCATTCGGGAACTAAGGCTGCGTGGAATTAAAGTTGTAGCTTTTGGGTAGTTGTATTTTGATCTCGCTTGTTTGGTGAGAAGTTTGGTTGGAGTTTGTTTGATAGTAAGAATGGCTGCTATCAGTATGAAGATTGAGAAGTTTACAGGAAGAAACAGTTTCAGTTTGTGGCAGATCAAGATGCAAGCCTTGTTGAAACAACAGGGTTTGTGGGCTCCGTTGTCTGGAAAATCGAAGAAGGAAAGTATAGATGAAGAAGAGTGGATTACTTTAGAGGAGAAAGCTCACTCTACAATCTTGCTTTGTTTGGCTGATGACATCATCACTGAGGTTGCTGCTGAGAAGACTGCTGCGGGCTTGTGGTTGAAGCTTGAAAGTCTATACATGACAAAGTCTTTAACCAACAAGTTGCATATGAAGCAACGTTTGTTCAGTTTGCGTATGGAGGAAGGTACATCTCTCAGGAATCATCTAGATCAACTCAATACTATCTTGTTAGATCTGCAGAATATTGATGTTAAAATAGATGATGAGGATGCTGCCTTAGTTTTGTTAGTATCTTTGCCACAGTCATATGAGAATTTTGTGGATTCTTTTATTGCTGGGAAAGATAGTTTGTCTTTGGAAGATGTCAGATCTGCTCTACATACTAGAGAGGTTCGACATAAGGCGTCTGGTTCAGGTTCGGAAAATCAGGCATCTGGGTTGGCTGCTACTAGTAGTAGGAGACAACAATCTGGTAATAGGAAGGCGAATACAAATTCGAATTCTGCTGGTTTGAAGGATGATATCTGTCATTACTGTAAGGAGAAAGGGCATTGGAAATTCGATTGTCCTAAACTGAAGAAATATAAGGAGAAGAAGGAATCATCTGCTGCTGTGGCGAAAGAAACTAACTCTGATTCTGAAGATGGTTTAGCCTTAGCAGTGAATGAGCAGGTACATCATCAGGATGTGTGGTATTTGGATACTGCAGCTGATTATCATATGTGTCCAAGCAAGGAGAGCTTTTCAACTTATGAGCAGATAGATGGAGGGCATGTTTCTATGGCCAATGGTGCTATCTGTAAGATTGTTGGAAGAGGCTCCATCAGGATGAGGACACATGATGGTTCTGTTCGCACCTTGAACAATGTTAGACATATTCCAGAGATGACTAAGAATCTGATATCTTTGAGTCTACTCGACAGCAAGGGTTTCAGCTTCAAAGGTGAAGGTGGAGTGTTGTCTATCTACAAGGGTTCTAAGGTGATTTTGAAAGGTGCCAAGCGGGGTGCCTTGTATAATCTACAAGGTTCTGTCTTGACATGTTCTGTTGGTGATAAGTGCAGCAAGTTGGTTCTGAATGACAAGTCTCAACATGAGTTGGATTTGCCGAATGGTTTGAGTTGTTGACCGCCCTTAGGGGCATATGGAGGCAGGGGAGATTTTGTTACAGCTGATTTGGAGGAGTTAGTATGTCTGGCAATTCTGATTGCATCTGAGTTTGGCGATTTGCATCGCGTTTGAGTTTGGCGGTTTCGATCGCATTTGGATACGTCTGGCGATATGTATCGCGTCTGGGTACATCTCGCAACTTTGGTTGCGTTTGGTACATTTGGCAACTTTGGTTGCGTCTGGTACATCTGGTATTTGAGAGAGAATTCAAGTCAAGGTGGAGATTGTTAGAATATGACTTGAATTTGATTTGCGTTTGTTTTGTGTTTTAGGCCTATTCTGTTTGGGTTTGGGATTGAGCTTTGTTTTGACCTTTTCCTAGTATGTTTGGGAAAAGGTGTTTGGTTTTCTGTTTGGGATTAGGAGAAGAGTTCTATAAATACTCTTCATCACCTAGTCTATAGTAAGGTCAGTCGGGTTAGTTTGTTTGGTTTGTCCGTTCCGGAATTTGGTTTGTAACCTGTACTCTCCTCAAAACAGTGAAATTTGTTCTCTCCTGCTCGTGGATTAGCTAGCACACATTGTGTTAGTGAACCACGTTAAATTTGTGTCCGTTCGTGTTGGTTTGGATTATCGATTGCACGCTTCTGTTCTGACAACTTGTTACACATGCATGCTTTGGGTTTTAAAGAGCAAATCAAATTTAGATGGTCCGCTCAATGAGTTGGCAAAATTGAATAGAAATAGGAAGGGTATAGGAGGCTCTTAAGTACGTTGTATCAAATAAAATACCACGATATGATTTGGCGGAGAATTTGGTAATTTTATTGACACGGAAAGAATCACATTTCCTGTCTTACCGCTACCCTAGCTCTATTTATCACCACACTGAACTGAAAATGGGAAGGAGTGCCTCTCATGTCACCACCTCACACCCTTGGAAATAGTTCCACCTGCTCACCTCCATGCAAAGCCTAAGGGAAGGATGTAAGTTATCCCCACCCTCCCTTCTTGCTCCTGCAACCAGTGGGAGAGAAATATCCAGAAACTAAGTAACTCCCAAAAACCTTAAGCCGTAAATATTGATCCTTTATTCCAGTGACCACTCTCATAGGTAGAGGGGAATTCTAAGTACTAAGGTTAGCGAGGGGATGCCTGTTGCTTCAGGTATGTACCATCCCTTCTTATCTTTAATAACTTAGTTTTAAGGTTACAGGGTGATACTTTGCATGATCCGGGTAGCTATATAGGGATTAGGGAGGGTGAACTGGGTTAGTTGTTTGCCGAGTTTGTGATGGGGGATTTAGTCCGAAAATCTTACATGTAAATGCTAAATGACTTAGTGTTAGTGAGATTCTGGTCTCGGCCTTATACGAAATAGTGCATGTGGGTGGAGTTAATCTCTTCATTGAGAAAGAAAAAGAACTGCTAATAATGATGATGGGTGTGAATTATACACTTCTGGACAGTATATATACATGCATACAACAGAGGTTATGTGAGTATGTGTATAAAGGAGGCAGAAAGGGTTTTGGTTATGATTAATTAGCTAGGTGGCTTGTTTAAACTGGACGTGTCAACAGGGGGATCTTGTGATCAGCTGTG